TGCTAAAAAGCTAATTTATTCTAGTATCTAAGCAATCGTAAGCAGTTTGTGCAAATTGCCGTATCCTCTTCAACAAGATTACTAGATATAACATGTGGTGTTCCCCAAGGGTCTATACTAAGGCCACTGCTTTTTCTCATTTATGTTAATGATCTGCACAATGCCTCAAATTTGTATACAGTAATGTTTACTGATGATACAAATCTTCTGGCACCCATATGGGTATGCTCGCCGGGAATCCTGTAAAGGTCCCACGGGGTTTAACCATTGCGAATCTTGCAAAACTACGTTTAAATTTTTAAAAATTATAGAAAAAGCAAATTTATATATAACTTGATTGGTTTATTTCAAAAAAATAGTAATTAAAACTACACTGTCGAAATTACACTGTCGAAATTGATTTTTAAACGATTCTTTAATCATGTATCGAATGCTTTCACGGTTATCTCGGTTATTGGAAGCTTTTCCATTGTTGTTAAAACGACTTCTTTGAAAACCTCTTTACACAATATCTCTTTTCAATATGAGCTGTAAAAAAATTAAATTTAACTGTTAGTTTTAAATGTTATAGGTAACAAATACATTATTTTTAATATGTTATAAAACTCTTACGATTTCTCCAAACACTCTTCAGATAAAATATGTAATTTTTACCATTGAAGGTAGAAAAACATAACATTTAATTTTATATTCGACGTTTATTTCAACGTTTTAAAATGTACTTGTAATAGATAAGCACATGCTTATGATTCATATAATAAATTGATAACATTCCTTTAGTTACTGATATATAAATTATAAAATTATTAAATAAATATAATTTTATATTTATATTGTATATAATTTGATAAATATTGTATATACCTTTTATGCAGTGCCGTGGCTACTAGATACAATCTCTCTCCCCCCCCCCCCCATTCTAAAATAAAACTTGTCATAAGGGCCCCAAAACTCTTAAAAACTTTTTCAATAAATGAAAAAATCTAAATAAAAAAACTAAAAAAAAAAAATCCTTACATTTGTAAAAAGACCCCTAAATTTGCAAATGAGCTCCCTAGACAAAGCTCTGCTTATATATATATATATATATATATATATATATATATATATATATATATATATATATATATATATATATATATATATATATATATATATATATATATATATATATATATATATATATATATATATATATATATATATATATATATAATATATATATATATATATATATATATATAAATATATATATATATATATAAATATATATATATATATATATATATATATATATATATATATATATATATATATATATATATAATATATATATATATATATATATATATATATATATATATATATATATATATATATATATATATATATATATATATATATATATATATATATATATATATATATATACATATATATATATAAACGACTAATAAGTTGCAAATTCCTCAAACATAACGCATATGTCTGCTTTTTAAAACCTTTTTACCTTGACCATTTTTTTTTGAAATTTCAAAGTAGTTATCATTTTCATTAGAAACAAAACTCTCTAAACCTTGATAATTTTTAAACTATAAATAGTGTCTTAATGCAATGATTACTACCATCAAAATAAGGAGTACTAAACTTCTGTTTATCTTCTTGTACGTGTTTATTTGAACAACTCTTTGGTCTTTGAGCATTTTTAATTGACCTGAAAAAGTTTTGTATTTGAACGATGGACATCTATCAAGTACTTAAAATTTAACTGTATTATTTTCCATATGTGCTAATGAATGGACATTGTAAACTAGTTGATCCTTACGATAAAGTTCACCAATAAAACTGCACAAAATAAGTAACAAAATTAACATATTTTTTTAATAAAATAAAACATTATGAAATTAGAACTGCAACTAATAAATCTATAAAGTTAAAATAGATTTTTGGCTAAACCATTCCCTTTAAACAACTGGCCCAGTGTATACTATAAATTGTCTAAGTTCAGTTGTTTTCCATTTTTTTATTATTTAATTAAGACATTGGTTTTCTAGAAAAATTTATTAGAATGTAATGACGTATCTGGAACGATCCGCCAGATAAAGTATTGACTGTAATCTGAGACAATTTACAACATTTGGGCAATTTAACCATAAGTTAATGAGTCTTTGCATACCCCTAAGCATACTAGATGCATAAAGTCTAAAGGAAACTTTTTCATTATGTCAAAATTTATTTTAATTCAACACACCACTAAGATGTTAACAACACTTTTGATGACAAAAATTCTGCGCTTAAAATTAGTGAAATATTATCTTGCCACACTACTTTCCTTTCTAAACACAATGATAACATCAGTTATAACCTTTGTGTCCCTTAATACACTTTGCAAATGCTCTAGCTGGTGCATCGCATATGATAACAGCAAGATTGATTTTAAACTCAATATTTTTATAGATAAAAGCATCTTTTGCAAGAACTTTGAAATTTACCAAAAAATTATGTAGATAATTAAGGTGACCAACTATGCTCATTTGCTAAGTTTTATACTCTTTTTTCACAAACTATACTCTTTTCAAATCCTGTACTCTGAAAGTACTCATTTGTATAATTTTGTACTCTTTTGTATTTCTAAAACATTTTTTAGATTATTTAATTTTAATATGGGCTCTCAATTTTGCTGAAAAAAGCAGACATATGTGCGTGCAAAATTCAAATCACTGTCAAACTTGTGTCTGGTGTTTGCCCTGTCCTCTGACGTGCCGGAAACGGCAAGGAATATGGGCGCGTGAAATCCAAATCTGTGTCAAAATAATTTTAAATATTTAATTAATGAAATTGACACATTTATAAAATAAACAAATAAATTAAAGCAATATTAAAACAAGGAAATAATAAAGAAAGTAAATTACATTAATACAAGTAATAAAAAAAGAAGTATAAGAAACAATATTATTAAAAAAGTTGGAATTAGAACAAAAATATAAAGAAGTAACGCTAAGAAAAATGAAAAAAAAAAGAGAGGATGATTGGATGAGATGAGATGAGCTAGAAAATATGTAGAGAAAACAAAAATTTAATTACATAAGTTCAGAAGGATAGAGAGACAGAAAACAATTTTTGCAGAAAAATATAAAAAAGCAAAATAAAATTTAAATAAAAAAACAAAAACATACATTACTACATACAATATTAAAGGCTATATTAAAGCCTATAAACTGACCAATTTGGAAGATTCCTATCCCGGAATAAAAAATGAATTTTTAAAAAAAGTTTTTTTTTTATTTTATAAAAATTTTTATAAAATTTGCTATGAATATATCGAAGAATGGATAGTGAACTTTAAAACATTGAATTGTTTCAAATGGGCCCTTCTAAATATTAAAATTGAATGAAAAGAAGTATTTTCAGCAGTCGAATTTGTAATGAAGGAAGTAAAAGATATTGTTATTAATGACAATTTTCTCTTTGAAGAAATTCAAAGAGTAAATTTGTATTTAAATGAAGAAAAATTGAAGAAATGGAACGATGAGAAAATAGAACTTGACAAAAGGTGGGTAGAAATGTTTCTGCATTTTAGAGTAGAACATATCCCACATAAACATTTAAAAGTTTTAACAGAAATTTCTTTGTTGTCCTGACACTAATGCTGCTGTTAAAAAGGTATTTTCACTAAGGAATGATTATTGGAGCATTGAGAAGTTGCAACTTTCTGTAAAAACATTATCTGACGTCTTAACAGTCAAATTTAATATGCAAAATGAAAGTTGTTCAGATGTGGCTACATTATTAGACAAACATCTTTAAAAGAAAAACGTTTTTAAAAGAAAATAAAGTTTTTATCGTTTTTTCTTCTTTTTTTTCACTTATGAAATACTTGCAGCCTGTACTCTTTTTAAACAAAAAATAGTCGGTCTCCTTAAGATAATTAAAAATGGAATTAGATTTTTGGGCACCGCTTTTTAAACAAATCTTTAAAAACCCAATTTGGGTCCCCTAATATTGTGTGTCTAGGCCTAGGCTCTAACATTTATAAATAGCAACAACTTTTGGCAAATTTTATTTAAAATTTTTTACATGTATGTTTAAATTTTGTCACTATTTTAGATTTTTGTTAAATAAATTCCTATATGTTTTTATATAAAATATTTATGGAGTATTATTCTCTTTTACTATCAACTAACAAGCTGATTAAACAAAGTTAATCAGCTTCAGCTTTAATCTGAAGCTAATGAGTTTAAAGATGAAGTTGAAATATCAGCTGCAACCCCTACTTTATAGTCAACATAGTTAATGTGATGTATATTAGGGTAGAGTGAAAAAACCTTTTTTTAAAATTCATTTGAGCTGGGTATGGAAAAGTTGCCTTTGGGTACAAAATGAACTGTGGTAAAAGCATTTTGCCCTTGATTAATATTTAGGTCTGCCCCAAGGCACTTGAAAATTTGAGTTTTTTGTTAATTTCGCAATTTTTGGTTTAAAAAATAATAATTTCCTATTATTGCAAATTCATGTTGGCTGGGTATGCAAAAATTGCCTTTTAGTTCAAGGTAAACTGGGGTAAAAGCATTTTGCCCTAGCTTAATTTTTAGGTCTGCCCCAAAGCTCTCGAAAATATGGGTTTTTCGTCCATTTTGTGGTTTTTGGCGAAAATTTAATAATTTCCTATAATTGCAAATTCATGTTGGCTGGGTATGCAAAAGTAGCCTTTTAGTATAAGGTAAACTGTGGTTAAAGTATTTGGCCCTATGTTAATAATTAGGTCTGCCTCAAGCCACTTGAAAATTGAGTACTTTAATTTAAATCCAGACAAAACCAATTTCGTACATATTTCAGATTGTTTATAGGCATATTAAATAACATTACAAATGTATAATATATCCAAGAACTTCACAGTTGTTTAAATCTTTATATTTGAAACTGAGACTCAGTGTGGAAAGTTTTTGTCTTTGATCTCGATTCCAGTGTGGCACGAATCATTCCATCTCTGCGATCAAAACCGCAAATGCTTCAGTAACAAGCTTAACGTGTCTTTCAGTTGACTGAGTGTGATATGGAAACTCTGGAATGTTTAAAACTGGTTCAGTCAATGAAACACCATTTACAAATGACTTTATTTCATGAGTTGAGATGTTCTTTGTAGCAGAGGGCTTGCTTTCCTGGGCAACACTCCAGTCGATTAGATTAGTGTAGTCATCTGCTTCGAAATTAAGTTTCGGCACACGAAAGCGTCTTAGTGACTGACTGTTTTTTTCCCTTGCACCAAGGATTCTTCTGAATGCCAATTTCCTTATGTGTTCGCGCTCATCAGTCAACATTGCTAGTAGGATGTTTTTGTAATGACTGAAATAAGAATTTCTCTGAATTTTCTCATCCACAATACATCTTAAGTCATTTTTAAGGTACCTTGAAAAGTTTATCATTCTCCATAGATGGAGTGCCCCTTAAGTACAAGATGATTTCGTCTTGATATAAAACCAAGTAGGAGCGTAAACTTTAACAACAAATGTTGTAAGAGCCACTAGATTTTCAGTTGGATCTTCCATCGAAACATATAACCGCAGAACTCTGCTAGCTGTTGTCAGCCAGCGCGAGTGAACTACAGGACCTGGAGTCTTATATGCCAGATTTATTGGGCATTCACCATTATTCACTGCGTGGCACATTTTATATAAATACATTTGATCTGTGCTTAAATCTTTAAAATTCACATCTGGAAAACTATTCATTTCTATAGTTGAAAAATGCTTTACAGGAAAAGTTTCACAGATTGGAAGTAATTTACCAATTGGACCTGAGAAAGCTTTTGGTTCACTTGTGGTGCCATCTAACTTACACAAAAGATGTCTAAAAGGGAGCTCATTTGCATGAAGCATGCAAATGAACCAAGCAAAGGCCTATCGAGTTTCATCTCAAGTAAACGGATGACACCTCCCAACGCACCAGTGTTGACATTCGTGCCATCACAACCGACAGCTACTAAATTGTCTAGTGAAATTCCATTCAAATCACAGAAATCTACTATGCCATATACTATCTTAACTGATGTTCCATTTTCAGGGCTTATGTGACCGACATAAATTGAATGGGGCTCTTGAGTAAGTGTAACATGTTCTTCTGTAACTATTTTGTAATAATACTTGGAACCTTTCTTGAGTTGCATTTTTGTTTTGTCCTTCCTACCATCGAAGTACAAACCTGTTAGATTAGAGGCAAGGTGGGATTAAAGTTCATATCTAACCTTCTGTCTTTCTCTTCGAATTTTAATTCTATCAATAACCATTGTACTGTCACAGTCATTCACGATACCAACGTCTTGCAACACGGCACTAGCAATGGCTGCAGCAGCACGATCTAAAATGCTATGGCGATCACATTCCTTTGAGATATTTGGAATGTTTGCTCTCATCTGTTTTTTCTCTGCTGTTGCAGAAGTTGGAACCTTATGTATTGAGGGAAAATGGACATCAGTATCGTTGTCAGTTTCAGTATCAGAAGACGAACTGAATTCAACAATATTTGAAGACAATAGGGAGTTAGATGTAGTGGCTGTTGTTGGAGTTTTGTAAATATTGGAGTTTTCTTTTGCGATTATCGCGTTCTTTCAATCAACTTGTAACAACTTTATCTATATTTCCAATCATCATATTTCTTGTACTTCTTTGATCTTCCAAAAATGGTCTTTCTGCAACTGGTACCTTAAAAATTTTCTCACAATTGCAGTGATTTATGTCCAAACATTTGCAGACTGCGATGTCAAACAACTAGGAATTAGCTTCAGTACAAAACATTTGCATCTTTGCTTGATAGTTAGGATCATTCTGTCGCCTCTTTATAGGCTTGAGCATATCTCGATGTTTGTCATGAAGTTCTTTTATCTTCGCTACAATCCGCTTGTGTGTTATAATTGGAATCAATGCTGTGTGCCACAATGCTTTGACTTTTGATGAAACACGACTTGAAACTTCAGCAACTGAAGGGATCTCTGCAGATCTATATGTCATTTCGTCTTTAAGGAACAAGTAATATTTCATCACATCAGCATTTGTGGGAAGAACGGTCTCTAGTAAATATGAAGGATTTCCAAAAATTGGGCAATTGGTACGCAGCCGTGTCTTGTGCTTCTTACACCCACTAACACCAGCCATTCTTGTTATTTTTGTTCGGACGTCAGTCACAGATGCGAGGTTGTTTGAATTTTCTAATCTAAAATAATTTTCTAATCTAAAATAATAATATAAAAATAAAATAATTAATTTCTAACATAATAATTCAAACAAAATAATGTAAATACTGAAATTTGTAATTATAGGAATTTATTAATTTTTTCTCCGAAAACCACAAAATGCACGAAAAAAGCCAATTTTCGAGTGCTTTGGGGCAGACCTAAGAATTAACCTAGGGCAAAATGCTTTTACCACAGTTTACCTTGTACTAAATGGCAACTTTTGCATACCCAGCCAACTTGAATTTGCAATGATAGGAAATTATTATTTTTTAAGCCAAAAATGCCGAAATTAACAAAATATTCAAATTTTCAAGTGCTTTGGGGCAGACCTAAATATTAATCTAGAGCAAAATGCTTTTACCCCAGTTCATTTTGTACCCAAAGGCAACTTTTCCATACCCAACTCAAATGAATTTCCAAAAAAAAGGTTTTTTCATTCCACTCTATTGTATATACATTATAATAATACATGTGTTTTTTATTATACTTAAATACTTATTTTTTTAATTTTATAATACAATTTTTTTTTAAACACGTTTTTTTATAATATTTAATACTTAAAAAATATTGAATTTTGTCAAATATTCTTTAGATAAAAATAATATTTTCTAACATTACTCTAATCGAGGTAATAAACAAGAGTAATATTTACTCCAATCATTTTATTTGTCCCCCAAAGTTCATGCAATTCTATTATACATAAGTCTCTCACTAATTCTAATATTAAAAAGTTATAACCATTATTATTATAATTATATTTTGTTATTACTAATATTTATTAAAAATACATTCTGGTTGTTGAAATCACTTTTACTCATATCAGTATGCAATTATTGTCAACAGTCAGAGTGCACCATGCAGAAATATTCTTGAACATGCTGCAAAATACAAGATATACATAAGATACATATCATATAAGACCTATTTTCTAGAACTTAACATTATATAGTGTTTAACTTACTATAACTTAATTATAATAAATATATGGTTATAATCTATATAATAACAATTATATTTTTTTAGTTATTGTTATTTATGGTAAAGTTATCAAGTTAAATAAAGTTTTATAACTAAAGTTTTAATGCAAAAGTTCATATCAATAAATATTTTATCAGTATTATAAACATAAATATTATATTACAAGTATTTACAAGTATAGGTACTGTAAGTTATTATTATGTATATCAATAATATACATTAATAATAACTTATACTTATTATTGTGTATATTATTATACTTATTATTGTAATATTAACAATAATTTCATAATATTATTATGAAATTATTACAAGTGTACAATTTTATATCAAAGTCAAAAAATATCAATGATTAAAAGATAATGTTGATGCATAACAATAAAGCCATTTTTTTGTTTTTAAACACCTAATTATCTTTATTTATATCTGACGTTGGGTAAACTTTGTTAAAATCAGTCATTTTGCTTGCAAAAAATTTAGAAAAATCAACGGAAAAGAGTGCATCTGTAAAAAACAATTTAAAAGTTTTTAATTCCCTAAATATAACCTATCCTTGGTGAGCAAAAGACACTATGAGTCAAATTGAGGTTTTGCTTTTTCAAATAAACGAAGACCAGATATATTACTGATTTGGGAAAATTTTAGGAGAGTGCTGCAACATCGATTGATCTATACCTGCCCCAAACCAAACCCTCAGCCGATGTAGCAGCATTCCCTTGCATGGTATCCATAAATTAGTCAATGTAGCAGCACTCTCCGACATTTCTCCCCAAATTAGTAATATATCTGGTCTTCGTTTTTTGAAAAATCAAAACCTCATTGTGAGTCATAGTATCTTTCGCTCACCCCTTTCCTTGAGGTCGCGATCGCGTCACAAAACAAGTTACCATCTTTGTAGGGGAAAATTATTGAACAAAACGCGTGATTAGCGCGTTTTGTTCATTGTTTAAATTTTAAAGCCGGGTTAAGACTAAAAAAAAACGCGCTAATAACGCATTTTGTTCAATGCTTTCTCCCTACAAAGATGGTATCTCGTTTTGTGACGCGATCGCGACCTCAAGAGATCCTTCACATTCCATTCGCCTGTTTGCTCTTTTTAAATGTTTCTGACTCAACTAATATTTTGATTAAACTCAAACCAGTTATTAGAATCACTAGCAGGAACAAAACTTTATATTTTGATCATTTTAAAAATGCAAACAGTGTTTCAATGGAAGATTTACTACATGTTTAATAGTTCCTGGAAAATATATTTAGCAAATATGTTAAACTTTATAAATTTAACTAAATATATATATATATATATATATATATATATATATATATATATATATATATATATATATATATATATATATATATATATATATATATATATATATATATATATATATATATATATATATATATATATATATATATATATATATATATATATATATATATATATATATATATATATATATATATAAATTCTTTTATAATAATAATAAATAAATGAAATTTTAAAACAACGTCTTTTTAATGGAGTTTCACAGTGAAAAAATACATTAAAAAAAAAAAATTCTCTTTAATTACAATGTAAATATAATGTATACAAAAAACTTAATGCATAAAAGTTAAATTTTAAATTTTATTTCACGCACAATACGAATTATAAATAGCAACCATCAAGTAAGTTTTGCTATGATTTTTTTAATTGTCAGTTTAAATCTATTGGAAACCTTATGGGTAACCCGTCAAATCCACAGATTCTTCGGCCCTGATTAAAACCAGATAAAACTCAAACGAGCAAATATGCTTGATTTTTTTACCATATGGGAACCGTCTGGAAACCGAAACACTTACCCGTCAAAATCCCGTTCCCGTAAGCCCAGACAAAAACCATACGGTACCAGTCTGTTAATGTTAACTGGGGTTATACTCATGCCAGACCTCTTTTATTAGAAACGAATGTTCTTAATATATACCAGCAAAATGTTTTTAATGTTCTTTTATTTATGTACAAATGTAAAATAAACTAAACCCCTACACACTCGCGGAATGTGTGGAGTTTTCCTCTACTCATTCCGCGAGTGTGTAGGGGTTTAGTTTATTTTACATTTGTAAAATAAACTAAACCCACTAGGAGCTATCACTCCTAGACACAAGTGTAGAGTTATTTTGCACAACTTTGTGCAAATAACTCTACGCTTCTGTGCAGAAATTGAGTTAGAAAAAGTTAATTTTCACAAAAGTGTGTAAAATAACTCCACACTTGTGTCTAGGAGTGATAGCTACACACCGGTGTGGAGGAAAACTCCACACTTTCCGCAAGAGTGTATATCCTTTCAAAATTTATATGCAATAAAGCAAAAAACAAACATGACTTAAGAAATGACAATTTTATTCATCAACATTATTCTCATACAAGTTTTGGAAGATCTCTTTTAATATCGTGGAGCTCTTCTGTTGAACAAAATAGTTTTGAAAAATTTTGATATTTCTCAAAGTTGGAGTTTTCTTGGAGTTTTCTTACTTTTAAAATTAAGCTGAAAAAAGTTAACTTATCAATTGATAACATCTTTGAGTACTTTTGAGTTTATACCATTTAATAGAGTCTGTGATTCCTGAATATATTGTTTTATTTTGAAATATTTAGTTTTATATATATTCTTTATGTTGTTAAACGTTATTTTATGTTGTGAAATATCTGGTTAGATTTAAATTTTATTTCTAAACGTCAATTATTGGAGTTATTTAACTGGTTATATTTTTACTGCATTGTTAAACGGTTCTCAGCGACAGGATCTTTTGATCCTCTTTGAGTCTCCGTGTTCTGATATTTAGTGTACAACGATATTTGTACCATAATATATTAAAATAAGAACAATATATTACGTATTTTTTTTTTTTTTATAATATTAATAAAAAAAAATATTGTTCTTTTTAAAAATTTAAAAGTAACCGACTTTCATTAGACGTTCATAAAACAAAGTTTATCCTGCTCCATAAGTTTAGTAAAGCCGAAAATATTCCTCTTAAGTTGGCCGATCTTTTAATCAATGACATATAGAAATATTTTTTAATAATTAAAAGGGAAATAACTATAAAATTTCTAGGAGTGCTTTTAGATAAAAAATTATCACGGAAATACTATATTAAACATATAGAAAGTGAGATCTCAAAAAGTATTTTCTTGTTATATCGAACAAAATCATTTTTTAATAATCGACCTTTAAAAAATATATATTTTTCGTTCATACATAGCTATCTTTCTTACTGCAACGTTGCCTGGGGTAGCACTAATCATCTTAAACTCAAAAAAATTTATAGCAAACAAAAACATGCTTGTAGGATAATATTTGAGGCAAACAGGAACGCTCATTGCGAACCTCTCTTTGGTCAGCTGATTGCGAACCTCTCTTTGGTCAGCTGATTGCGAACCTCTCTTTGGTCAGCTTGGAGCTTTAAATATTTATAAGATTAATATTCAAGTAATGTTATTTATGTTTAAAGTAAAATGTGGTTTATCTCCAGTAAGTAATGTTATTTATGTTTAAAGTAAAATGTGGTTTATCTCCAGTATTTACTAAACATGGACTTCGGTATACTAGATTTCAAATACTTTTTTAAAAAACAATTTAAAAGTTTTGAATTAACAAGTCATCTAATTTAGGTTGTTTTTTTTTTACTAACTGTTTTACTTTTTTGTTTAAAGTTTTTGTTGATATTTATTAATCAGCGTTAATTATTTATTTAAATTGAATTATTTTTAATTAAACTTAACGCAATTTTTTGTGATTAATAACTATTCACGACTATCTCACTTTTGTTTTATTTTATTTTTTAATTTTTAAATTATTCCGTTGGAAGATTGTTTGCAAAAGTTTTTCTTATTGCTGAAGTTTTGTAAGTACTTATACAGTTTTATTTTATCACTTATTAGTAATGTAAATACGTTTGAAAACAACATTTTAACGGGACTTGGTGATGAGACAAGTCTGTCTTCTTCTTGCTCCGGCCAGGATAAGACAAGCTTGTCTTCTTCTTGCTTCGGCCAGGGTTTTCTATTATTGTAATTTCTTTTTTGTAATTTTTAACAAACGGCTAAAAAAAAAAAAAAAAAAAAAAAAAAAAATAAAAGCACTAAAAAAAGACAAAATGTTTCAAAAGTGTAAAGACCTAGAGTCGTTTAATGACATTATTGAAAATTTCGCTGGAGTGGAAGAGAGAAAAATACAGTTCACATAAGGTTAGCCTAAGTTTTGACATCTAAGTTTTCATCCTTTTGATGTAATTTTGAAAAATTATCTAACTATGGACAATTTTTTTTACAGTAATTATAATACTGAATTATTTTTTATTGGTTAACAAGAACTACTTGTTCTTATTAATTAATATTTTCCAGGATTATAAAATTATGTTCTTTTATTTTACAGATATATATAGATTATATAAATAGTGTTCACTTTTTATGTAACCTATGAGCATCCTTCATATCGATTGCAGAAAACATAATATGTAAAAATAACATTACTATTTTGTAATAATATGTTATATTATTTACAATTGATTATTCAATATAAACCCTACAAAGAAAAATTTATTTGTTATTCTAATTCTATTTACTTTGAATAAATATTATATTTGTTTTGAAGTTTATTTTGTTATCATATTTTAAAATTTTAAATCCAATGTCATAAACCAATTTTTTTAGTTCTTCATTAATTTGAATTCGAAGATCTTATGTGTCTTTAGTCCTTTTGAATCACCCAGAAAAACGGGTTTTAGGTTTAATATTTTGTATTATTGTAATTATTTCAAGTAAATAAAATTATACTTTACGAATAAACTTTATTGTTATTATTCTGAGTTATTTTATAAAGCAATGAGTCCTTTTTATAAACTTAAACGAAAGTAACAACTCAAAATTATAAAAACCGAAATTTATGTTTTGCACTTACGCAAAATTTCACACAGTAAGAGATTAAACTTTTTCTTCGTCAAAGCGCTTAAAGAGTCGACTTTCATGAAGGTCTCGCAAAAATGTTTTGCTCTAGGTTTTGCATTTTCTAAAGAAGGCTGTGATAAAATCGTTTCACTGTCTTTCTAAAATTGTTTCAAAATAGAGCAATATGAATAATTCATTTATGTCCAAGAAAGTGACACCTTGTATATTACATTCAAAATTCTTTTTTTTATGACTTAATTCAGTTCTTATATTGTTCATTTGTCTGGGATCAACAACATGCTTACCTTCCTACTGTATTCCATAACTACTTTAATAATAACACGTGGGCATAATTTAAGATTATTCACTTAAAACAACTTATCCCCCTAAAACAGAAAAGTAAAAATGGAATTAATTCCATTACATTATTTTTTGTTCTTTTCTTTATCTTATTTAGGTCATTGCGTTTTATTAGTGAATCATTATTTGCACCTACCTGTATTTTTTTTTTTTTTTTTTTGTAACATTCTTATTAACACCAAATTTATTAACTGATTGTTAAATAAACGCTTCCGCCATTTGCGATTTCATTGAATTGTGTGATTGATATATTCAATGTGTATGTCAAGTAAGCAAATTTATAGCAAAAATCAAATCAATTATGATAAATATGTATAATGTAAAACAAAAATTATTATGAGTACAGTTTACTTAGTCGCTACACGGCTGTGTCGCGCAATGTAAAATTGGGCATCAAGTCACGAGTTAAGAAAAAAAAAAATAATAATAATAATAAGTTTTGCAAAAAAAAAGTATAAAAACGCACTATCATTATAAAATATTTTATTATCAAATTAAAAAAATGTAAAAGGTAAACTTTACCATCTTAAATAAATGTATACATTTGAACGGAATAATAATTAATATCATTCAATTTTGCTGAGGATTTAGGATCACTTTTTTGTTTTTCGCGATTTTTACTACTACTTACAAAAAGGTACTTTTTAAGGCATTTATATATTTAGTTTTATCAACTAAAGAGTAACTAAAGTTATCAAAGCTTAAACCTTTTATGAAAACCATAAAACTATTTTTTGTTTCTCTGTCTTTGTTATCAATTATATTTTCAAATTTGGCATGCTTAACAATAAATTTGTTTTTTGCGTAAGTTTTTGTTTACATTTCGCAGAAATGATTTAAGTTAGGGGAGAACGGGGTGAGATGGGACATGGGGTGAGATTAGACATAGCGATTTCTTATCAAAAAAATTGTTAAAGCAGTTTTTTTTTTTTATATATGTGATAAGATTACAATAAGTACTTCATATTATTGTGTTTTTTGAGTTTCAAAAGTACTTTAAAATTCAAATTATTTTCGAATATGTTAAAATCTAACAAGTTTCCTGGATTTTGAAGACATCATTAACAATAAATATTTATGTTATGTTTCCATATATTTTTATGTTTATGGTTTTTAATTAATCATTATTGTCTTATTTAATTACTGATGAAATATAATTAGCAAATGGTTAAGAGAACTATATAAAATAAAGGTTTTCTTACACCTACTAGTGATGGGGTGACTTGGGACAGGAGACTTGGGTTGAAATGAGACACTGTTCAATTTTATCAGTTGTTTAATTTGTTATATTTTAATTTTTTTAATCAATTATTTTTGTAAAAAAAACAATTTGCAGAAAATTATGTTTATGTTTATGGCAAGATTTCCATGTTTACTTTATAATAATAAATTTTTTATCTTAGAAAAAAAAATAGTTCTATAGAATTTCTTTGAAACTTTGTCCTGGTTGTTAAAGACATTTAAGTATTGTTTTATAAAGAATATTTTTTAGCACTGTGTTTATATTTCAGTTTAAATAAAGGTCTTTACTATTACCCTTTTTAAATTATAAGTTTTATAATTTAAAAAGGGTAATAGTATAATCTCATTATAAGTTTTTGATATTTACCCGTGTCCACTTTCGAAGCCACATGCTTAAAGGTGCACCAACAGGTACCAAAGGTGATGCTAATCCTAGTGGATGGATAAATATAGAAATATTTTTGAAATGGTTTGATCATTTTGTGCAGTATGGACATCCTAGCCAGCATCATATATTACTTTTAATAATGGACAACCACAAAAGTCATATATTGATTGAATTGATGGATAAAACTAAGGAAAGTAATGTTGTGCTCTTGACATTTCAGCCACAAACTCCAACCACTTGACACATCAGTAATTTTACAGTTTAGCATGTGATTCATGGTTTAATGCACATCCAAATACTCCTATGACAATATATGACATTTCTGAAAATTTAGGAATAGCTTATGCGAGAGCCTTTACCCCAAACATTCAAAATGGTTCCCAAAACATTCAAAATAGTTCCAAAATATTCAAAATGGTTTTAAGGCAGCTGGCATTTTTTTGTACAATCCATATGTTTTTAGTGATATACTTTTTATGTTCTTATGTATCTGATCAGCCAATTCCAGCAAATATCTTTACCTTATCAGCCAGTTTGTCCAGCAGTATTTCTCAACCCGTCCGAAAAACAATTTCTGTCAGTATAGCTAATGTATACGATCAGACAGACCCTGCAACTAAGGCTTACAATTTAAGTAAATTATCTGATTCGCAAATACAAACAATCCATACACCACTATCTTTTGTATAAGAAGTTATTAATGACAAGAAACAGCAAATACAACAAATAATAAAAACAGCAAATTGGACAGCAGAAGATATAAAGCCATTTCCAAAAGCGGGTGAGAGGGTGACAAAAAGAAAAAGTGCAAAAAGAAATTGTTTTAGGTCTCTGGTATTGACTGACACACCAACAAGAAATGAACTAGTTGTAAGTTTATTAGAATGTAAAAAAAAATGCATTTAGAATATCTTATTTTAATTATACACAAATAAATGTTGTGTATTATTATGTTATATAAGAAGTAGAATAGACAGAATAAAATAATGCTCAAAATTATTTGTTTCTAACTTGTCCCATTTCACCCCAACATGGGGTGACATGGGACAAACAGTGTCACAATAAAAAAACGAGGCCATGGACTTAATTTAGTGGTTAAGTAACGGGTTTTTTAATAATTTCCCATGAAAACTCATTAGACTATAGTTTTAACCCAAATTGTATGGTGTTTGGCAAAAACATAAAGCGCGGCAAACAAACAAATTTTTTTGTCCCATCTCACCCCGTTCTCCCCTACAAAATTATTAACTTAACAGCGTTAAAAAATCACACTTTAGTTTTATTTTTGTATGTAAAGCAATAAAGCTTAGCTTTGTGAAATCTCTTCACGATATTTGAATAGTTTATAAGTACATTTTTACTATCTTTAATATTAATAAATTTATTTGATTTTCATTTAAATCCCTTTCCTATCTCTTTTTTTTTTAAATAATTTATGTTATATTTTGCAATTTTATTGTCTGACTTTACCCGACGGGCATTTGTTTTTAAAAGTTACGTTCTAAATGTGTTTTAAACGTCTTTTAAACATTAATGTTTAAAAGACGTTTAAAAGACATTTAAAATACATTTAGATCGTAACTTTTAAAAACAAATGCCCGTCGGGTAGTACTCTAGAGCCCTTAACAAAAAAAGGTGAGGAAGTTTATTAATTTTTCCACCCACCCTAAGCTTATTAAGACCCCCACCCCCCGCCTCCCTAGTTTATTAATTTTTTCTTGTTATTAACAAAAACCTTTAATCTCAAAACTAAAAAAAAAAAAAAAAAAAAAAAAAAAAGTCAGCCAAAAAAAATTTATTTAGTCACTGAAAAATAAAAAAACATTTGGTGTAAACAGCTTTAAAAAATTGCCGACCTAGTAAATCTCGATTTGCTGCATATAAGCTTTTAATTTATTTCTCACCAAAGTATAAAACTTATATCAGCATATTGAAATTATGATAAGACAGCTTTTAGAAAATGTGGTTTTGACCGCAATCCATGATAGAATTAAATAGTTTTGTTATATTAAATAGTTTTGTTATACTAATATTTTTAAATTAAAATACTTATATTTTACACTAAAAAATTCCCACTCCCTTTTAATAACCCCCTCCCCCTCCTGTTTAATAAATCTGGACTAATATACTAACACGCCTATACTACAAAAAAAACCCTCTCCCCCTCCTGTTTAATAAATCTGAACTAATATACTAACACGCCTATACTACAAAGTTTTAGTAACACCCCTTAAGCAAATAATTTGAAAAAATAACAAGAAATCATGTTTCAATCGTGAAAGGTTAAGGTTAATTACCTTGTTTAAAAACAAAATACTTAATATAGAGTTTAAGATCGAACACATATAAAATGCTTACAGAAGAAGATAAAAAAATTCTATTAAAATTTAATCCAAAAAATAAACTTTTTAACTGTAACTTCTATAAAAACCCCATTACGGAAAAAATGCTAATAAACGTTTAGATTGTTTACTTTGCTTTGTCCACAGCAAAGCGCAAATAAAGCTAAAATTATGCCGCGAAAACATTCGAAACCAATCCATTAAATAGAAAAGATGTTTAAGATAATGATAAAAAAAAGTATCTTATAAACAACTTAAAATAAGTGCAAATAGGTAATTAAAATACATCTGTTGTAGTTGAACTAGCTGTTGTGTTGTTGGTGCAGTATCGGTTGGGTGGTTGAATTTGCTGTTATTGTTGCAGTTCTTTCAGCAATTACTGTAGTTTCGACTATAGTGGTTTAATCGCCTGTCGTTGTTGTAACTTCAGTTGCTATAGTTATCTCAGCTACATTTGATGAAGCTTCGGGTGTTGTTGCTATAACCTCGGTTGATTTGGATGTTTCAGCTGTTATTGTTGTAGCTTCAGTTTTTATGAGTCATTTATTTGTTATTGTCGCAGTATCAGTTGTTGTTGTAGGAGTTTCAGTTGTCGTAATTGATTAAGCTTTTGTTGTTGTAGCTTCGTTTATTGTGGTAGAAGCTTCAGTTGTTACGATTGAATCTGATGATATTTTAGCTTCGTTTGTTGTGGTGGAAGCAACAATTGCTGTGGTTGACTCAGCTGTTGTTGTTGTAACTTCGGTTGTTATAGTTGCTGTTCTAGCTTCGTTTGTTGTGGTAGAAGCTTCAGTTGTTGTAGTTGACTCTGCCGTTGTTGTTGTAGCATCAGTTGTAATTGTTGTTTCAGCTGTTGTTGTTGTAGTTTCGGTTGATGTGGTAGGAGCTTCAGTTGTTGTGGCTGATTCTGCAGTGGTTGCTGTAGCTTCAGGTGTTGTTGTCGTGGTTTCAGGTGTTGTTGTAGCTTCAGGTGTTGTTGTTGAAGCTTCAGGTGTTGTTGTTGTAGCTTCGCTTGTTATCGTTGTTTCAGCTGTTGTTGTTTCAGCTTCGTTCGTTGTGGTAGAACTTTCAGTTGTTGTGGTTGACTTTGCCGTTGTTGTTGTAGCATCAGTTGTAATTGTTGTTTCAACTGTTGTTGTTGTAGTTTCAGTTGATGTGGTAGGAGCTTCAGTTGTTGTGGTTGACTCTGCAGTGGTTGCTGTAGCTTCAGGTGTTGTTGTTGTGGCTTCAGTTGTTGTTGTAGCTTCAGGTGTTGTTGTTGTACCTTCGCTTGTTATGGTTGTTTCAGCTGTTGTTGTTGCAGTTTCGGTTAGTGTGGTAAAAGCTTCAGTTGTTGTGGTTGACTCTGCCGTTGTTGTTGTAGCTTCGCTTGTTATGGTTGTTTCAGCTGTTGTTGTTGTAGTTTCGGTTAATGTGGTAGGAGCTTCAGTTGTTGTGGTTGACTCTGCAGTGGTTGCTGTAGCTTCAGGTGTTGTTGTTGTGGCTTCAGGTGTTGTTGTAGCTTCAGGTGTTGTTGTAGCTTCAGTTGTTGTTGTAGCTTCGCTTGTTATGATTGTTTCAGCTGGTGTTGTTGTAGCTTCGTTGGTTGTGGTAGAAGCTTCAGTTGCTGTAGTTGACTCAGCTGTTGTTGCATCTTCGGTTGTTGTAGTTATTGCAGCAGTTGTTGTTGTAGCTTCGTTTGTTGTGCTAGAAGCTTCAAATGCTGTGGTTGACTCTGCCGTTGTTGTTGTTGTAGCATCAGTTGTAATTGTTGTTTCAGCTGTTGTTGTTGTAGTGTCGGTTAATGTGGTAGGAGCTACAGGTGTTGTGGTTGACTCTGCAGTGGTAGCTGTAGCTTCAGGTGTTGTTGTTCTAGCTTCAGGTGTTGTTGTCGTGGCTTCAGGTGTTGTTGTAGCTTCAGGTGTTGTTGTTGTAGCTACAGGTGTTGTTGTTGTAGCTTCGCTTGTTATGGTTGTTTCAGCTGTTGTTGATTCAGCTTCGTTCGTTGTGGTAGAAGTTTCAGTTGTTGTGGTTGACTTTGCCGTTGTTGTTGTAGCATCAGTTGTAATTGTTGTTTCAACTGTTGTTGTTGTAGTTTCAGTTGATGTGGTAGAAGCTTCAGTTGTTGTGGTTGACTCTGCAGTGGTTGCTGTTGCTTCAGGTGTTGTTGTGGCTTCAGGTGTTGTTGTTGTGGCTTCAGGTGTTGTTGTAGCTTCAGGTGTTGATGTTGTAGCTTCAGGTGTTGTTGTTGTAGCTTCGCTTGTTATGGTTGTTTCAGCTGTTGTTGTTGCAGTTTCGGTTAGTGTGGTAGGAGCTTCAGTTGTTGTTGTAGCTTCAGGTGTTGTTGTTGTAGCTTCGCTTGTTATGGTTGTTTCAGCTGTTGTTGTTGTAGTTTCGGTTAATGTGGTAGGAGCTTCAGTTGTTGTGGTTGACTCTGCAGTGGTTGCTGTAGCTTCAGGTGTTGTTGTTGTGGCTTCAGGTCTTGTTGTAGCTTCAGGTGTTGTTGTAGCTTCAGTTGTTGTTGTAGCTTCGCTTGTTATGGTTGTTTCAGCTGGTGTTGTTGTAGCTTTGTTTGTTGTGGTAGAAGCTTCAGTTGCTGTAGTTGACTCAGCTGTTGTTGCATCTTCGGGTGTTGTAGTTATTGCAGCAGTTGTTGTTGTAGCTTCGTTTGTTGTGCTAGAAGCTTCAAATGCTGTGGTTGACTCTGCTGTTGTTGTTGTTGTAGCATCAGTTGTAATTGTTGTTTCAGCTGTTGTTGTTGTAGTGTCGGTTAATGTGGTAGGAGCTACAGTTGTTGTGGTTGACTCTGCAGTGGTAGCTGTAGCTTCAGGTGTTGTTGTTGTAGCTTCAGGTGTTGTTGTTGTAGCTTCGCTTGTTATGGTTGTTTCAGCTGTTGTTGTTTCAGCTTCGTTCGTTGTGGTAGAAGTTTCAAATGTTGTGGTTGACTTTGCCGTTGTTGTTGTAGCATCAGTTGTAATTGTTGTTTCAACTGTTGTTGTTGTAGTTTCAGTTGATGTGGTAGAAGCTTCAGTTGTTGTGGTTGACTCTGCAGTGGTTGCTGTTGCTTCAGGTGTTGTTGTTGTGGCTTCAGGTGTTGTTGTTGTGGCTTCAGGTGTTGTTGTAGCTTCAGGTGTTGTTGTTGTAGCTTCAGGTGTTGTTGTTGTAGCTTCGCTTGTTATGGTTGTTTCAGCTGTTGTTGTTGCAGTTTCGGTTAGTGTGGTAGGAGCTTCAGTTGTTGTGGTTGACTCTGCAGTGGTTGCTGTAGCTTCAGGTGTTGTTGTTGTGGCTTCAGGTGTTGTTGTAACTTCAGGTGTTGTTGTAGCTTCAGTTGTTGTTGTAGCTTCGCTTGTTATGGTTGTTTCAGCTGGTGTTGTTGTAGCTTCGTTTGTTGTGGTAGAAGCTTCAGTTGCTGTAGTTGACTCAGCTGTTGTTGCATCTTCGGGTGTTGTAGTTATTGCAGCAGTTGTTGTTGTAGCTTCGTTTGTTGTGCTAGAAGCTTCAAATGCTGTGGTTGACTCTGCTGTTGTTGTTGTTGTAGCATCAGTTGTAATTGTTGTTTCAGCTGTTGTTGTTGTAGTGTCGGTTAATGTGGTAGGAGCTACAGTTGTTGTGGTTGACTCTGCAGTGGTAGCTGTAGCTTCAGGTGTTGTTGTTGTAGCTTCAGGTGTTGTTGTTGTAGCTTCGCTTGTTATGGTTGTTTCAGCTGTTGTTGTTTCAGCTTCGTTCGTTGTGGTAGAAGTTTCAAATGTTGTGGTTGACTTTGCCGTTGTTGTTGTAGCATCAGTTGTAATTGTTGTTTCAACTGTTGTTGTTGTAGTTTCAGTTGATGTGGTAGAAGCTTCAGTTGTTGTGGTTGACTCTGCAGTGGTTGCTGTTGCTTCAGGTGTTGTTGTTGTGGCTTCAGGTGTTGTTGTTGTGGCTTCAGGTGTTGTTGTAGCTTCAGGTGTTGTTGTTGTAGCTTCAGGTGTTGTTGTTGTAGCTTCGCTTGTTATGGTTGTTTCAGCTGTTGTTGTTGCAGTTTCGGTTAGTGTGGTAGGAGCTTCAGTTGTTGTTGTAGCTTCAGGTGTTGTTGTTGTAGCTTCGCTTGTTATGGTTGTTTCAGCTGTTGTTGTTGTAGTTTCGGTTAATGTGGTAGGAGCTTCAGTTGTTGTGGTTGACTCTGCAGTGGTTGCTGTAGCTTCAGGTGTTGTTGTTGTGGCTTCAGGTGTTGTTGTAACTTCAGGTGTTGTTGTAGCTTCAGTTGTTGTTGTAGCTTCGCTTGTTATGGTTGTTTCAGCTGGTGTTGTTGTAGCTTCGTTTGTTGTGGTAGAAGATTCAGTTGCTGTAGTTGACTCAGCTGTTGTTGCATCTTCGGTTGTAGTAGTTATTGCAGCAGTTGTTGTTGTAGCTTCGTTTGTTGTGCTAGAAGCTTCAAATGCTGTGGTTGACTCTGCCGTTGTTGTTGTTGTAGCATCAGTTGTAATTGTTGTTTCAGCTGTTGTTGTTGTAGTGTCGGTTAATGTGGTAGGAGCTACAGTTGTTGTGGTTGACTCTGCAGTGGTAGCTGTAGCTTCAGGTGTTGTTGTTGTAGCTTCAGGTGTTGTTGTCGTGGCCTCAGGTGTTGTTGTAGCTTCAGGTGTTGTTGTTGTAGCTTCAGGTGTTGTTGTTGTAGCTTCGCTTGTTATGGTTGTTTCAGCTGTTGTTGTTTCAGCTTCGTTCGTTGTGGTAGAAGTTTCAGTTGTTGTGGTTGACTTTGCCGTTGTTGTTGTAGCATCAGTTGTAATTGTTGTTTCAACTGTTGTTGTTGTAGTTTCAGTTGATGTGGTAGGAGCTTCAGTTGTTGTGGTTGACTCTGCAGTGGTTGCTGTTGCTTCAGGTGTTGTTGTTGTGGCTTTAGGTGTTGTTGTAGCTTCAGTTGTTGTTGTAGCTTCAGGTGTTGTTGTTGTAGCTTCGCTTGTTATGGTTGTTTCAGCTGCTGTTTTTGTAGTTTCGGTTAGTGTGGTAGGAGCTTCAGTTGTTGTGGTTGATTCTGCCGTTGTTGTTGTAGCATCAGTTGTTGTTGTTGTGGCTTCAGGTGTTGTTGTAGCTTCAGTTGTTGTTGTAGCTTCAGGTGCTGTTGTTGTAGCTTCGCTTGTTATGGTTGTTTCAGCTGTTGTTGTTGTAGTTTCGGTTAATGTGGTAGGAGCTACAGTTGTTGTGGTTGACTCTGCAGTGGTTGCTGTAGCTTCAGGTGTTGTTGTTGTGGCTTCAGGTGTTGTTGTAGCTCCAGGTGATGTTGTTGTCGCTTCAGGTGTTGTTGTTGTAGCTTTGCTTGTTATGGTTGTTTCAGCTGTTGTTGTTGCAGCTTCGTTCGTTGTGGTAGAAGTTTCAGTTGTTGTGGTTGACTCTGCCGTTGTTCTTGTAGCATCAGTTGTAATTCTTGTTTCAGCTGTTGTTGTTAGAGTTTCGGTTGTTGTAGTAGGAGCTTCAGTTGTTGTGGTTGACTCTGCAGTGGTTGCTGTAGCTTCAGGTGTTGTTGTTGTGGCTTCAGGTGTTGTTGTAGCTTCAGTTGTTGTTGTAGCTTCAGGTGTTGTTATTGTAGCTTCGCTTGTTATGGTTGTTTCAGCTGGTGTTGTTGTAGCTTCGTTTGTTGTGGTAGAAGCGTCAGTTGTTGTAGTTGACTCAGCTGTTGTTGCATGTTCGGCTGTTGTAGTTATTTCAGCAGTTGTTGTTGTAGCTTCGTTTGTTGTGCTAGAAGCTTCGAATGCTGTGGTTGACTCAGCCGTTGTTGTTGTAGCATCAGTTGTAATTGTTGTTTCAGCTGTTGTTGTTGTAGTTTCGGTTGATGTGGTAGGAGCTTCAGTTGTTGTGGTTGACTCTGCAGTGGTTGCTGTAGCTTTAGGTGTTGTTGTTGTAGCTTCAGGTAATGTTGTAGCGTCAGGTGTTGTTGTTGTAGCTTCAGGTGTTGTTGTTGTAGCTTCACTTGTTATGGTTGTTTCAGCTGATGTTGTTGTAGCTTCGTTTGTTGTGGTAGAAGCTTCAGTTGTTATAGTCGACTCTACCGTTGTTGTTGTAGCATCAGTTGTAATGGTTGTTTCAGCTGTTGTTGTTGTAGCTTCGTTTGTTGTGGTAGCAGCTTCAGTTGTTATGGCTAACTCTGCCGTTGTTGATGTAGCATCAGTTGTTATAGTTGTTTCAGCTGTTGTTGTTGTAGCTTCGTTTGTTGTGGTAGAAGCTTCAAATTTTGTGGTTGACTCTGCTGTTGTTGTTGTAGCATCAGTTGTAATGGTTGTTTCAGCTGTAGTTTTTGTAGCTTTGTTTGTTGTAGTAGAAGCTTCAGTTGTTGTGGTTGACTCAGCTATTGTTATATATTTGGTTGTTGTAGTTGTTTCAGCAGTTGTTGTTGTAGTATTGGTTGTTGTGGTAGGAGCTTCAGTTGTTGTGGTTGACTCTGTTATAGTTGTTCTATTTTCGGTTGTTGTGATTGTTTCAGTAATTGTTTTGAAACATGATTGAGATACCAGCGAACAAAAAGTTGCTCTATAGTGTTTATCACAAAAATTTTGCAAGCAGGAACAAGAATACTTTT